TCTATTCTATTCTATTCTATTCTATTCTATTCTATTCTATTCTATTCCATTCCATTCCATTCCATTCCATTCCATTCCATTCCATTATTATGTGAGCACATTGATCCAGACAATACACTGTTCCAAGGATGGGACCCTACCGCCATAACAACCGGTTCAATGAGCGTGCATGCATGCCAAATATGCGCTGTGCACGCATGCTCAATACTTATGAATCACCTTCTCCTGCTGATGCGTGAATAAAGGACAGCCTAGAGGCCAGACAGGCAGGTGGGTGAATTGGTTCGGTGTCAGCTGCTTCTATAGAACTGGTAGTTCCGAAGAGCAGCTGACACTGAATCAGTTTGCTATCAGCTGCTCTTCGGAGCTACCGGTTCTATAGAACCGGGCCAAACCAGTTCAATCGCACCCCTGCACTGCTCACAAAACACTTAGGTGTTGTAAAGAGAAAACGTATAAACAAACTGTTTCATTGTTTAATTGTTAAAAAGACATGATCAGCTGATGGTGATTTTTTTCTTTTCTTATTTAGTTGGATGACCTCAGCCAGCACTTTCATGGAGATGCCGAATAAAAGCAGAGAGAAAAATTAAACCTCAAAATAATGACTCCGTTAGGTGACAAATATCTCCTTACCTGTCATTGGCAGCACCCCTCTAAACCCCCCCAGGTGCTTACCTAGTTCATCTGCAAAAGAAAAAAGAGACATATTATTCTATGCGGTACGATATCTTCCTTCCGTTTGCAAGCATCCACATCAGCTTCTCATTTCGCTCAGCCTTTGACCAGATCTGAATACAGGTAGTCCTTGACTTACGACAGTTCGTTCAAAGTGACAACGGCCCTGAAAAATGTGACTTAAGACTGTTTTTCACAGTTATGACCAGTGGTGGGGTTCAATTTTTTTTACTATCGGTTCTGTGGGCATGACATGGTGGGCGTGGCAGTGGAAAGTTACTGCAAAATCCCCATGCCTTCCCCACCCAACTAACTTGCTTTCCAGCTCCGTTCTCCTGTGCAGGGCAACCAAAGAAGACCCAGCCAATCAGCTGGGACTCGGGAGGCAGAGCATAAATGGGGCGAGGACAGTCAGAGGTGGTACTTGCTGGTTCTCTGAACTCCAAATTTCTGCTACCGGTTCTCTAGAACCGGTCCAAACCGGCTAAATACTACCTCTGGTTATGACCTTTGCAGTATCCCTATAATCATGCAATCAAAATTCAGATGCTTGGCAACTGACTGGTATTTGTGACGGTTGCGGCGTCCCTGGGGTCATGTGATCCCCTTCTAACAAGCAAAGTCCATGGGGGAAGCCAGATTCACTTAACGACTGGGTGACTCACTTAAAAACACTGCAGCGATTCCCTTTGCAACTGTAGCAAAGCAAAGTTGTAAAAATGTGCCGGAATTCACATCAAAAATGTTTGCACGTAGCATGAGAAATGTTGGGCTGAGCTGGGGGGGGGGGGGTCGTAAGTCGAGGACCACCTTTTAAAGCAAGATGCTGAAAATCCTTACCCGAAGTCTCTCTGTTCGGCTGCATCATGGACAAGCTAGAAGTGGCAAGTAGGGGGGCCTGTAAAAAAAGATGGGAAAAAAATAAGAATTAATCAGGATGTCAGCGTTCCAGAAAACCTCCAATCCAACCAATAACTCCTGAGAAAGACATCTTCTCAAAAGTTCTGTTTTTATTTGGATAGGAAACTGGCACATCTGGGCAATCCCAAATCTGAAAGTTCTGGGCTTTCTTGCAATAAGTAAAAACTACAAAATCCATCCCCTGCACCCATCATCGCATCACATGCCCCAATCGCCATCCGTCCCAGCTCTCACCCAGGTGCAGAGATAACATGACCTTGACTTAGAAGAAGAATGTTGTTATGTCGAACCACATATGCTCCAAGAAATTCCCCCCTCCCATTTTCCCAGGCTCAAGAATGTGGCAGTGTGGAAGCGCCTGGTGCTAATATGCCTTCCAAAGCTGACACAAGACGTTCATCCTATCCTCCAGACAATTTCCATCCTGCAATCTGGGATTTAGAATAGAATAGAATACCTTTATTGTCATTGCATTCTACAAATACAATGAAATTTGAAAGCTACTCCAGCGCATGGCCCCAAACACCACGTCACAATTACACTACAGAGTATTTAAAAATTAAAATGATTAAAATAATCATAATTAAAAACCTAGTCTAAAACATATAGTAAGTTAGATAGTTTAAAAATGCCACTATATACATAGGGCTAAATCACATATGCATTGTTTGATTCAAGACAATTATTGCCTTGGAAAAGAAACTGTTTCTCAGTCTATTAATCCTCATTTTAAGACACCCATAACGTCTCCCTGGTGGTAACAGTTCAAAATATGAATGTCCAGGATGAGAACGGTCATCCGGAGATTTCTTGTGCTCTAGAGAGGAGTCTGGTCTTCGCAATCTCTTCCAAAGAAGAAAGAGAGCAACTGACGATTTTTTGTGCTGTGTTTATAACTCTCTGGAGCATCTTCTTATCTACTACAGAGCATCCAACATACTACAAACTGGGATTTACAGATTCACAGAGTTGGAAGAGACCTTGTAGGTCATCTAGTCCAGGGGTCGGCAACCACTTGTAAAATGACAATAGTTATTCTGTTTACCCTGTTATATTGGTAAGTTTCATTTCAGGTTTACTGTTGATTTGGAGGTTTTAAACTGAAAGAAGTCAGACATGACTGGAGGAACATAGAAACTTTGTAAAATTGATTACAAAGAGAGAAAGAGAGAGAGAGAGAGAGAGAAAGAGAGAGAGAGAGAGAGAGAGAGA